ATGGCGATAGTCCACGCAAAAGCGCCAGCTGCCATCCTTCTTCTCAACGAGAACGACTGGGGAGGCTCAGCGGCTGGATGATGGTTCTATGACGTCTTTAGTAATCATTTTGTCCACTTCATTCTGAATTACTTGGCGTTCCTCGTGAGATACGCGATATGGACGCCGCCGTGTAGGCCAGGCATCACCAGTGTTGATCCGGTGAGTCACGGCTGTTGTTTGGCTGAGAGGGCGGTGGTCAAAGTCGAAAATGTCTCTGATGCTAGCAGACGATGGAGGCCGGCAGCTTGCACTGGGGTGATATCGGGAGCAATCATCTTGTTAATGTCATTGGCTGGCAGAGTGTAATTACGGCCCAGCCATGGGAATGTAGCATTGGTGTCCAAACCAGTAACGTTGCAGCTGTCAAGTGGAGAAAGTGTGGTCAAAGACATGTCTTGCAGAATAACTTGAGTCAAGAGACTGACGTTGAGTAGGGGTATAACCACTGTATTATCAGCGACGGAAACAACAGTGTGAGCAAGGGCGACGTCTTGGGACATCAGTACGTCGACTATAGGAGTGACGAGGTAGTCACCGTCGAGCACATCACGTGAGCATGACAAACTGACGTATGTAGTAGCATGCGGCGGCAAGCGAACGTGGTGGCGAAAACATAAACGTCGAGATGGTCAGCTGGACAATCAGCAAGCTCGTGCAGCTAAAGCTGAAGAGCACCGGTGGCACAATCAATGAGCGCAGAATGACGTGACAGGAAGTCCAAGCCAAGTATTAGGTCATGAGAACACATTTCAATGACGGCAAACTGAACTAATGTAGGATGACCGGCAATGGACACTCGGGCTATGCACATCCCTTGAACGGCAGGGGTCCTCCCATCAGCGATTCGGAGTGTGCGGGAAGCGGAAGGCGTGAGCACTTTATGTAGGCGTCGGCGATGGTTTGCGCTCATTACAGAAATGTGCGTTCTAGTATCTATAGGGGCAGAAATAGTCACACCATCAACGTGAATGTCTAACACTTTGTGTCGTCAGAAGCGTCAAGAGAGGATTTGTGGAGGAAGTCGATAAAGCAGCGTCACCTCCGGGTGCTGTACTGTTTAGTTTTCCAGATAAGCATGAGCGGGGTTGAATGGGGACGACGGCCTGTGAGCCTGCGGGGAGCGAGACGACTGGCGACGTCCTGGAGGCGAACGCGACTGACGACCATGCGGTGACGGAGATTGGCTGTAGAACCTTCTGTAGTTGTTTGGCGAAGAAGGCTGCGCGGCAGATGCAAAGCGGGTGCTGACCTGTCGGTAGTAAGGTTCACACGACGTCCGAAGTGGCGAGGACCAGCGGTAATTGCAGTACCGGACGACATGACCGATACGGTGGCAATGCAAACAAATTGGTTGATTGTCGACGGTTCTGCACGCAGCAGGGTCGCGAGATCGAGCCGTAAACTGCTGCTCGTGATAGGACGAGGGTGGAAGACATGAAGCTCACTGCGGGCTGGGAAAAGCGCACACCGAGGGAAAATCTATGCTGGTGAGTTCTTGGTGGACGATGGCTTGAACCATGTATGCAGTGAGTGGGGTCGTGTCACTTGCAGCATTGTGAGCCGAAACAGGGGTTATGGCTTCAAGTTCGTGCCGTACAATTCGGGTCACCTGATCCGATGAAACTGAAGGTGGCGGCTGTGTTCTTGCACGGTCTTCGCAAGACGACGTTGCAGCCGTATTCGGAAGGCGGGCAAACACGCTGTCAATCCGCCGGCTCTTCGCTAGCTCAAAGCGCTGGCATTCCTTTATAATGGCGTCCACTGTAGAATAATTTTTGCAGATGAGGAGGTTGAATGCGTCGTCCGACATCCCATAAAGATTATGTCCAAGCTTGTCAGCCTCCGGCATCTCGGCATCTGCTTTGCGACACAATGCTAACACATCTCCTATATACGAGACGTACGACTCCGTCGAGGTCTGCGCCCGAGACGCAATCATTTTGTTCGCGGTCATTTTTCTTCATAGGCTTCCCGAACAGGTCCAACATTTTCTCCCTGCACATTGTCCAACTCCCAAGTTCTACTCCATGGTTCTCATACCACGATTTGGCGGTTCCCCCAAGAAAGAACAACAGGTTTGCCAGCATAAGAGTCGGGCCCCATCGGTATCCAGTACTCACACGTTCGTACTCTGCCAGCCCATCTGCAACGTCCTCTGGATCGCCGGAACCGCTAAACGTGCCAGGATTCCGCGGGGGTTCGAGCACAAGGGTTGTGGTCGCAGGAGGAGATGTAGTCGCCGCATCATCTCCAGCTGCAGGAACAGCATGCAGGAGCAGATGCAGACGCCGTATTTTCTGTCATCGTTGCAGAATGACCCTTCAAACGACGGCCGCTGCGAAGTACCGTGGCGAGGTGGTTACCCAGCACCTCCACTAAATGTGACGGGGGCAAGATCTAGGTTTATAGTATAGCGTTCACAGAGAATCGGCAGCCGAACAAGATGGCTGAGTTGCCTCTGGCGCAAGCGTCTAACGCAAGGGCGTCTTCGTCCTTTTCGCAAAGTGCTACGCTTGTTCCTGTCGATGGTGCACCGTAACAATATGGTCAAACTATTGGCAATGTCATTTTTAAAAATCACTTGCTAATAATATTGTTAACGTTCTGCCTCTTGTGTGTCAGGGAAGTATTCGCGTTTCAGTTCTTTGTTGTCCAATAATATTGTTTTTTTTTCGAATGTGTGTGTTCTCTGATGAAGAATTTCTACCATGAAATGTCTCCCTTTCTTCTCACAGGCCCATTCTTAACATTGTGTGAGAAGTTCGGCAGAGAAAGCATCTGATATATACACATATATTTTTTCCGCACATTCTTAAGTGAAAGACCGATTTCCTTCCACTCCCCCTCCCGCATTTTTTTCCCTTTTGTCACTCGTTTTCCCGTTAGTGACTCCGTACGGCCCTTCTTGGTCGATATTATTTGGTAGAAAAACATTTTCTCTGGTGCAAACATACTAGTTTTACTGCAGTGTCAAAATTATATTTCCATCGCTGATTAACTCACCTCTTGCGCTGCAACGCACAATGTTCTCAATTTCTTCCAATAATTCAGCACCTTCTATATTCCCGGGCTACTTTCTTTCTATTTGCCATGAAAAGACCTTCTTTCGGAGAATCGGGCCTTGCTACCCCACCGACCTCTCAAAAAAATATCTTTGCTACTTGCCTGGTCGGCGTTATATTGAAGTTCAGTGTGCTCCTCGTCATGTTACTGTGGTTATCTGTAAAACTCAGCTCGTATCCTAACCGTTGTGCAAAAGGTACTAATAGGTACTTGCGTGTTCACCACAGCACCATGTGTATAAAGCGTCCGTTCGCTCTCAGGGTGCAAGATGGATCCAACAAATTCCAATTGAGGAGTGGGGTGGTGTTACATGTTGAAAATGGCAGTTTTGACTGACTGATGCATAGGAATTAAGGCTGCTGCTAATGGCGGCGGGGAGGTGATTACATACTGGTGATACGAGAGGAACTACATATTGGCCAGTCAGAATAATACTTGCACATCGAAGTTATTGTCGAGGCGGCAAGAAAATTAAAGAGGTGTTGTGGACAAATTTGTCCATGTTCATGATTTGTGCAACAAAGGTTTTATGTAAGAGGCGGAGTTGGGCCTCCTATAGTGACAGAAAAGTGTTGAAGGTCAAGAGAAATATTCGTTGAAGTAATACTAATGGTGCGAGAATAATTACAAATAATGAACCGAGCTGAACGATCGCGCATTGCTCCTAGTGCGTCTAGAGGAGCCCGATAGTGAGGATCCCAGATTAAAAATTTGTACTCGAGTTAAAAAGCTTGCAGCAGTTTTTTGAATCAGCTGCAAGGAAATTGGATTCATCTTTGCGGAATAATTTGCGTGTTCTGTTTATATAACTGTTCCTTTTATAAAACAAAATGTATCGTCTACAGCAGCTTATCGCTATTTGCCTTAGGTTGAGAGAGGTCTTTCTCTTATGCGAAGCCTTGTCGAGGTGTAGGTAAAGTGCAAACAAAGAATAACTGAGGCAAGGTTAGGACGCGAAGAATCAATAGCCCTGTTCACATTATTGATCACGTCGTCAAAAAAAGTACTTCATCATAAATTGTTATCAGTCAGGACACCCGACTATACGTAAGTACTGACAGGTGACAAGTGAAAGCTTGAAGTGAAGTAGACAAAGGTAGTAAGGTGAGTTATCTGTTGTGAGGTTTTCGTTAACATTCAATGCTATGCATCACAGAGAGCCCCAAGAATCCATGCTCTCAAAATGTGATTAAAATTGAGAACAATAAGGGTGATGTTTCGAAATTATGCAAAGGTCACGAGGGCCGCTTGAGTTGTCGCTGTGCTGCTTCTGGAGCACACACGTCGCCATGGCAGCGATAAAGAGTTCTATAGGCTTGTGCTTTCTATAACACTCCCATTGACTGATGTTACGTGATATGACACTGATGAGTAGTACAGCGAAAATATATACGTAATATATGCGTGCACCGTTGAGAACTTTCATATTCTTCATCTTGTAAAAAAAAGCAAGCTCTCACTGAGAAGCCGTGCGAGAGTCATGGTCACTCACTACGCTATTAATAGCTATAATTGCAGAAAACTGATTTTATGCTGCTATATATAAATAACTTTCTACGTTGAAAAATAATGTACCGCTAGCAGCGCAACTTCCTCTGCGACGGTGAGGCCTGCCTCAGAAGTCTTTGATCACGTATGCATAATTATTTAAGTAAACAATACCACAATTCTCCTATTGTAGACACAATGTTGCAGCTCTTTAGGAAGCCGTCACACGATGCGCAGTTGCGGCCCTGTCCGCGTATCATCTGTGAGAATGTTTCAGCCATACACAACACTGTTGCAGGCCTGCCATATATAGTTCATCTCGAAGGAAATTCCTTTAGCCTGTAGTCCGAAGTGCCTTAGGTGAAGCACGCAGATTGAAGCACACAGAAGCCGTCACTAGGTTCGGTCTACCAGAAAGAGCACTTGCGCTCCGGGTTCATGTAATCGCTCGCGCTACATCCGAAGGCCTCCGAGAACTGTGGCATGTGCATGAGTGGCACGATGCAGCGCGAGCGACCCCGGGCGTATCCGTGGCTCCGGTGCCCGGTCAGCGATCGGCACCACTTGACGCAGTGGCCGATAAAGAAGAGCTGCGCGGAGCTGAAGCCGGCCACCGTGAGAGCGCGCCTGTGGCTGGGCAGCGACTGGAAGGCGTCGTATGCCAGCGGGGCTCCAGAGAAGTCGGCCAAGTTTTCCGGATCCTGACCTACGCCGGGCTCGGATGCGAGCAGCTTCTGTTCAACCTGCGAAGGAGCGTTTGTAGAAAGGAGTGGTTTAATGAGCCGACTCAGCGTGAGGCGACTCATTTATTATTCTGTTTGATTTGCCAGTGAAGCAAAATGGCGTACTATGGTAAAATGATTGCCCGCGTATCGGCGTGCTTCACTACAAATGTCGTCGAAATAAGATAGTAGAGTGTTCTAGAACAGGGGAGTGCTCGGAATGGCTGCAGCACCAATGCACTAAATGTGAAGCCCAAAAAGAGTCAATCTGCTTGCGGCGTTGCGATCGGTAGTCTGCAATGCGTCGTTGTTTTAAAATATTCACGCGGCTCCGTCGAAGTGGTCGAGAGGTAGAATGCTCATTTCTCAGTCAAAAGACCCAGGTTCAATTCGCAGCTGTGGACAATATATATATATATATATATATATATAGTTTCAGCTGCTACATGTTGTAACAAAAAGTCGTGCGAAGTATGGAGTAAAGAAGAACGAATTTGACAACGAGCGTACTTTACCAGCGGCTCCCCAGTATATTCACTGCCAAATTTCATTTTTGCTTCATACTTCGCCTCACATTTTGTACCAATATGTAGCAACTGAAGCTGGATTAAAAAAAGCAAATCACTACTACAAAGCAAACTGTACAAGCGAAGCACTAGTACAAGCAAACTGTACTAGCGAACTGTACAAGCAAACTGTACTAGCCACAGCTGCGATTCGAACCTGGATCTTTTGACTTGTAAACGAGTATTCTAATTCTCGACCACTTCGATGGAGCCGCGCGCAGTTTTTAAAACGACGACACATTGCAGACTACCGGTTGCAGTGCCACAAGCGGATTGACTGTGTTTGGACTTGGCTTTTTTTTTTGGGGGGGGGGGAAAGATCGGTCTGGGGTTCAGCCCAAGGAGGTTATACTAAAATCTCCTTGGTCTGGGCACTCTCCTGGTTCAGTATACTGTAACGACAGCCTTCTACTGGTCGTACCAATGTTGCTAGAATAGTGTCACGGGGTCGTGACGTGGTTGAAGGCAGGATACGGAATGGTCAAACTGTTTATTTGGGTGAACCTGTGCCCGCTAAACGGAAAGTCGGGTTACGGTAGCACACTTGCACTGATAGCGGGGCACGCAGCGTCGGTCGTCGATCAACTGACAAACGGCGAAGCGCGTCGGCATTTATACACATGTCGGCGAATGTTCTAGCGTTATGGCTAGCGGTGACGTAGGTTCCAGAATAATCTATACAGTTCGCGGAGTAGGCGTGATCTTATTGAAAGGATCTACTACAGTCCTGAAGCTTCTCGAAGACTGCAGGCGCGGTTTGCGCTGAGAATTGCGTAGTGTATTGAGGTGATAACGAAACTTGAGATAAAGAACGTAGCACTGTTCCCTTGAAAAAGACATCGCCCGATGCTTTAGCGGAAGATGAAACTACAACAATAATGCAAGAAAGTACAAGGAATAAATTATGATACAGCAATAACACAAAAACACCATTTCAGTTCGCTAACGCGTATGAAACGGCTTGAGGCGCGCGACATGGACGACTTCAGGTCGTGATCGGCGTCGTTGAGAGTTCATGATACCACCGGGGACAACCTCGTAACCGAGTGGGCCGAGACGTCCAACCACCCTGTACGGTCCGAAGTACCGTCGCAGAAGCTTTTCACTTAGCCCACGCCGGCGTATCGGCGTCCACACCCAAACACGTTCACAGGGCTGGTATTCCACGAAGCGTCGTCGAAGATTGTAACGGGGGCTGTCGGTCATCTGTTGGTTATTAATACGAAGGCACGCGAGGTTCGGGATTCTTCGGCGCGCTGAAGATACTCACTCACATCGGGGTTTTCTTCGTCGGTGACGTTGGGCAACATGGCATCGCGCGTCGTGCCGGGCTGCTTCCATAGACTAATTCGTATGGAGATATTTGCGTCATCTCCTACTTCACCGTGTTGTATGCGAAGGTCACGTACGGAAGAAAGGCATCCCACGTCTTGTGTTCGACATCGACGTACATTGCCAGCTTGTCGGCGATCGTCTTGTTTAGCCGCTCGGTGAGGCCGTTGCTCTGTGGGTTGTACGCTGTCCTCCGGCGGTGATTTGTCTGGCTGTATGAAAAGACGATATATATAGCGCGAGAACAGAACGATGACAAAGAGACAAGAAGGGCACGAAGGGCACGAAGGGCACGAAGGACACGAGTGCTAACTTGGTACTCTCGTGTCCTCCGTGTCCTTCTTGTCTCTCTGTCATCGTTCTGTTCTCGCGCTATAACTATCGTCATGTCATACCAACTAGCCTAAGCTGCCACACTCCTATGTATGACAAGATCGCTTGAGTTAGGTCAGCAGCAAATGCCGTTCCTCTGTCGGTGATGAGGACCTCCGGGGCGCCGTGGCGTAGGACTATATTTTCGACGAAGAGCTTAGCTACCTCGGATGCACTGCCTTTGGGCAGGGCTTTTGTCTCGGCGTAGTGGGTAAGGTACTCGGTAGCTACCACGATCCACTTGTTTCCGAAAACTGACGCTGGGAACGGCCCCAGTAGGTCCATACCAATCTGCTGGAAATTTCGGCGAAGTGGTTCAATCGGCTGCCGGAATTCCGCTTACCTTGGCGGTGGTGTCTTGCGTCGCTGGCAGTCCCGGCATGTTTTCACATAACGAGTGACGTCGGTGGTAAGACGTGGCCAGTAGTACCTTTCCTCGTGAGCATGCGGGAAACACCGAGGTGCCCTGCCGTCGGATCATGCAGGGCCTGCAGGAGTTGTGGTCGCAGAGCTGGAGGCACCACAAGGAGGTACTTGGCTCGAAGTGGTGAGAAGTTTTTTTTTTTGGAGAAGACCGTTTCGCAGGAAGAACTACGGAAGTGCGCGCTTGAATACCTTCGAAACTTCGGCGGTCCTGCCTTCGAGGTATTCTAGTAGGGCCCTAAGTTCCGGGTCGGCCCGCTGTCGTTCAGCGAAGTCGTCGGTAGTTTTCGTTCCCAAGAAGTAGTCGTCACCCGGGTCGTCAGGCGGTGGTTGGTCGACAGGCGCACGCGAGAGACAGCCGGCGTCGAAGTGTTGCTTGCCGGACTTGTAAATGACAGTAATGTCATATTCTTGAAGTCTCAGGCTCCATCGTGCGAGGCGACCTGACGGGTCTATCAAGGTAGCTAGCCAGCACAAGGCGTGGTCGCAACTTTGAAGGGCCTCCCGTAGAGGTAGGGGCGCTATTTCGACGTAGCCCAGATAGTGGCAAGGCACTCCTTTTCTGTTGTGGAATAATTGGCTTCTGCTTTGGATTGCTAGCGATCGGCTGGCGTAACTAATAACCCTTTCCAGTCCGTCAGCCCTCTGCACAAGAACGGCGACGAGACCTACGCTGCTTGTGTCAGTGTGTATTTCTGTCTCGGTGAGTTCGTAGAAACGGGAAAGTAACGGAGGCGTTTGGAGGCGAAGTTTTAGCTCCTGGAAAGCGTATTCCTGCGGCATTTGCCACTTGAACTCCATTTCAGCCTTGGTAAGGTTAGTGAGTGGATCGGCGATGCGGGCGAAGCTTTTCACGAACCACCTATAATAGGCACGCGGGCCCAGAAATCGGCGCACTGCCTTCTTGTCAGTGGGCAGCGGGAAGTCGGCGATGACGGCTGTTTTCGGCGGATCGGGACGGACTCCATACTTGCCAATCATGTGTCCCAGGAACAAGAGCTCCTCATACGCAAATCTGCACATTTCTGGCTTCAGGGTGTGTCCGGACGTCTTGATGGCTTGAAGTAAAGCTTCAAGGCGCCGAAGATGCTCGTCGAAACTCGAGGAAAACACGACGACGTCAATCAAGTACACAAGGCAAGTCTGCCACTTCAATCCTGCCAGTACTTTATTCATAACGCGTTGAAAATTGGCAGGCGCCGAGAAAAGACCGAAGGGCATCTTTTAAACTTGAAGAGGCCGTCCGGTGTTATAAACGCTGTCTTTTCTCGGTCTCCTTCGTCGACTTCAATTTGCCATTAACCAGTCTTGAGGTCCATTCAAGAAAAGTACTTGTCGTTATGGAGCCGATTCAGTGCGTCGTCTAATCGTAGGAGAGAATACATTTTCCTTTTCGTGATTTTGTTCAGGCGGCGGTAATCGACGCAGGAACGTAGGGGTCCATCCTTTTTTCTTCCCTAACACCACGGAAGACGCCCATGAACTCTTGTATGGCTGGATGATGTCATCCTGTAGCATTTCATCAACCTGTCTCTTTATGGCCTCGCGTTCTCACGTCGAAACCCTGTACGGACTCTGACGGAGTGGTTTGGCATTTTCCTCGGTTATGATGCGATGTTTCGTGATTGGGGTCTGCCGAATTTTTGATGACAACAAAAAGCAATCTTCGTATTGCAGGGGCAGGGTCTCGAGCTGTTCTTGCTTATGGTTTGGAATGCTGGTATTGACGTCAAAAGCTGAGGGAGGGGCTTGGTTCCTCTGAACATGTTAAGCAGAATCGGCGAGGGCGAAAGCACTGGTGGTTTCCACAATTTCTTCGATGCATGCGAGCGTCGTTTCTTTGTTCACGTGTTTGTACTCATTGCTGAAATTCGTGAGCATAACCGTCGCTTTGCCTCCCCGCAGCTCTTCAATTCTTCTTGCGACGCAAATATTAAGGGTGACCAACAGATGCTGTCTGCCTTCAACGACGCTTTTCAAGTTAGGTGATTTAGAAGCACTGACTGAAATAATGACGCTGAAGCAAGGCGGAATGGTGACTTGTTCTTCCAGCACATTCAAGGCATGGTGTCCTGACGGCGTGCGCGGCGGTAGTGCTTCTTCTGTGGATAACGTTATCGACTTTGTTCTTAGGTTGATGACAGCACCATGGAGGCATAAGAAGTCCATACCAAGGATGACATCTCTCGAGCAACGCTGTAGGACTATGAAGTCTGTATTATAAATACGGCCGTTATTGGTGACTCTCGCTGTGCAGATTCCTGCCGGCGTTACGAGATGACCTCCAGCTGTGCGGATTTCGGGGCCTTCCCAAGCTGTCCTAACTTTCTTCAACTTCGCGGCGAACGACCCACTGATGACGAAATAGTCGGCTGCAGTATCGACGAGAGCGGTTACACTGTGGCCGTCGATAAGGATGTCGAGGTCACTAGTTGACCATCTCGCGTTGCAGTTAGGCCATGGAGTCGGCTCACATCTGCGTCGGCTTGTTCCGCTGCTTCCATGTTGCAACGCCAGGTCAAGCCGACGCATTGTTTTCGTGAGGGACCCCCTGCGGTCAACATGTCTCTATACGTATCCGTGAAACAATTCTGCACTTCAGAACCTGCGTTCAAATTATAGTTACTTTAGAGATTGGTGTCAACATGTCAGAATCCTGCTTTTTTTTTCACGGAAACGCTTACGAGATATTTGTAAACTCAAGCCCTCGCCCCCCATACAACATATTTACTTAAGTCCACTCTCCCTGTGTCCTGGCCTGTATAGGTTTAAAATTTCGCGATTGTTGCCCACTAGCTGAGGTGAGTTCCAGACCGCTGCCCTAGATGGTCAATGTTTTCAGAGCCTATGGCGTACCTATTCAGCATCTTGTGGTTTAGGTGCGTAGAATGCTAAGCGTTACATTGCTATACAGAGGGCGATCGTGCCCGCCTCACCTCAACGTGGCTGCGACGGATGCACCGAAGCCTCTCTTCGTATTCGCGGTTCGCCGTGGCGGTCCAGGACCACGGCTTCCCGTCCTCGTCCAGTTTCCGACCGCCCGTGTCGAACGCATGCATCATCTCATGCCCGACAGCCTGCATTTATACGCAGATCTCTATCAATTCTGGCAGGTAATCCTTACATCATCGTCTGACTGAGTGAGTGACTGCAACAATGATAGACCGATGCATCGGACAACATCCCGCCACGAAGAGCATTCTGTTGCGCGTGCACGAGGACTGGTGATTTCTTTAATTACGACAAATGCCGCCACTTATGTTGATATGATTACAACATAGTAGCCTTCGCGCTCGCGAGCACACAATGAAAAATCCGCATGCACTTCCCTTGCAGTTTCTTGCGACGAACGGCCAAATGACACTTGTTCATTCAATATGAGCAGTGCCGAAACCGGTAATGTATTTGTAAAAACACAACTGCGTTAGTTAGACAGATACTCATCATGATTGCTTTCGTAAATAATGCGCGCTCCTGATGGTAATTACTATATATGTGGTAGGGATTAGAAATTTCGCGAAAAAAGACAAACAGCATCTGCATGTAACGCCAGAGTGTCCATTATGTACGATGTGCAAGAGCCCTTCGACCACAATGTAAATTTTATCCCTCACAGGTCGCTGGAACACAAAATATAAGCGAGTTAGAGAAATATGTAGAATCTGTTACATGCAGCTGGTTACTAAAGTAGTATAGCTTCCCTCAGACGGCCTTCTAATGTGCCATGAGATTCATAAAAAAACAAGAGAAGCATATAAACTCGCTGCGGGAGACCGACAGAAACGATGGAGGATGTTTTAATGGAATATATGCGACCACATTCACCCATTTAGGAGGACACTAGACTATACGTGAAGCCAGTTGGGAGAACGGTGGTTGGAAAATTTCCGCCGTAGAGATTAGTAGAGGGTGAGAGGTAGCTTGCAGTATTGTGGTGAAAATGTATACGCAGAAGGAACGCGGAAAAAATAGTATTGAAGTGATAGTCCCTCTAATATGAAACGCTGCAAGCTAGGTTATGGTAACCTAAGGTTCTTCTTTTTTGTGGAAAGACGTGGTGGACAAGGCCTTCGACAGAATTAAAACTAGGAGTTGGTAGCTATCCATAAATACATGAATAAATGCAGACGGATATAACTTCACAAATCTGAAGAGGCCCCGCCCAGATGGCCGAAGCGCGGCAGACAATCACCTCCGCGACGAAAGAAATAGTACCGCTTTTGTGCACTGGGGCAGGCTCATGTACATCCACCTTTGAGGAGCAAATGCAGCAGAATTCTGAAGTTGTACCCGACAATAAATATAAATGAAATAATGAACAATAAATAATTAAACATCACATTCTACTCCAATGGTGAATGCTCATAGTATACATTCGTCTATACAGGAAACAGCGAAGAAGCAGAAAGACAATTTGGCCGTTCACAGCACCTGTCCTAGCGAGCCGTAGTTGTAAGCGTCAGCCGCGTGGTGGAAATAGACGGGCTCTTGGATGATGCCCGCAGGAACCAGAACCCGGTTGCCGGACAGGTAGTACGCATTTACCTGGCGCAGAAGCAACAATGCCATTTAGAACCTATATTTCCACATAAAAGATACATACCATTACTTACATGACAGAAAAAAGTCAACATAGAAGTAGTTTACACCCAAGCATTCATGTGCTAACACAAGTTGAACAAGCATGCGAATAACGACTATAGTTATGGGGTTTCGTAGAGTGAAACATCCAGGTTCAGTGTAAATAAATGGAACAAATCATACAAGTAAATGATGAGATATGCCGCCTGATGTTATTTAGCGGGAAAGATGATGTAAAAGGCATGAAAACATTTTCCCGAGGAAACCACGGCATCTATTTGAGCATTGATAATTTACGTTTATAAAGGTTTGATCGCAAACGCTGTATCAAAAGTTTCAACTACTGCACAAAGTTTTTTTCAAAAAATCCACCACCGAAAGCAGACATCGCTACTCTATAAAAAGACTTAAAGAATATCAAAACGAGAAATCGGAATAAATATATGTATAGCTAACGAAAAATTCTCAAAATATTCACGTGGAGAGTGCAGAACTTTTATTCACAAAGATAATGAGTAATACACGACACAGTATTATGCGTCCGTTTTTTACAATCTAGTTGTAAAACGAGGTGAAATTTGCAAATTTTTGTACGATCTAGTTGTAAAACGAGGTGAAATTTGCAAATTTCGATACATGTTTCTTTAATTGAATTGTAAATGTGGTTTCGATACTTCCACAAGATTGAGTTTTCAGCAGTTTTTATCTTTAAAAATCGATAGCAAAAGCAAAACGTGCGTCTCCTTCATCGAATTAATTGAGGCTTCTTTTTTTTTTGCAGTGCTGTGCAGTGCATATTGGCGAAAATAAACGGCATTCCTTTTCCGTCTATACTTAAACTGGCGCGGTGGTTTTGAATCATCCTTCCAAGCCATCCAAGTATATGGGGGCACAGATATCATTACGAGCTATATTTAATGACGTCCAAGCTGTAGAATTCATGCTACCGTGATTAAATAATATTGTTACACAAGGCAAGGTAAATTAATCGGGGTTTTTAATGGGCCCTGAGTCTGCGATCACCGTCTAATGATGATGATCTCCACCGCCATGGCTCGTACCCACTCAGAGGGATCGCAGTGGAGGCAACGTTGTCTTCATTCTCTACCCGCGCTTCCCTTGTATTTCCTGATAGTGATACTTCTTATCATTCCTCCGGTCTCAGACGAAGCCCTCTGGGCGAGTCATTCTTGCATCCTTCGTGTAAACGGCTCCAGGCGGGCAACATGCGTCACCTCTGTCTAGCATGAACGTCGGCCACCAGTGGTGACACGTGCAATTTCATAGTTGACCTCGCTGAGACGATGAAGTATCACGAAAGGACCGGCGTAGTGTGCCAGTAGCTTTTGGCTCAAGCCACGTCTGCGTATTGGGGTCCACACCCACAGTAGATCACCGGGGGCATAGGTTACATGCCTGTGTTGACTGTCGTAGCGAGTTTTGGAGGACTCTTGCGCTGCCAGTGTACGTAGGCAGGCAAGTCGACGTGTCTCTTCCGCACGACACAAAGTTTCCGCAATTGTTAAATCGTCATGGATGACAAAAGGAAAGATAGTGTCCAGCATATGTCGAGGTGAGCGAGCGTAGAGCAGATAGAAAGGGCTGTAGCCTGTCGTTTCGTGTTTCGACGTGTTGAAGGCGTACGTGACGAATGGTAAAACTTCATCCCAGTTTTTGTGGTCGGAGGCGACGTACATTGACAACATATTGATCAGCGTTCGATTTGTCCGAGGCCGTTAGTTTGTGGATGATACGCAGATGAGTGTCGGAACTTGGAAGCACACAAATGAAGTAATGATTCGACAATATCAGCGGTAAATTGTCGTCCACGGTCACTTATTATCACGCGAGGAGGTCCGTGACGGAGGATGACTGAATTCAACAGGAACTTCAAAACCTGGACTGCCGTGGCGGAGCATAAGGCAGCCGTCTCGCAGTACCGCGTCAGGTAGTCGGCGCATACAATTATCCACCGGTTACCTTTTGAGGAGCGTGGAAATGGTCCCATCAGATCAATGCCGACATTTTCAAAAGGGGAATCGGGAGGCTTTACAGGTTGCAGGTGACCAACTGGACCAGAGGAGGGCCGCTTGTGGCTCTGGCACTGCGTACAGCTGGCCATGTAGTTCTCGATTGTCTTGCTCATTTTCGGCCAATAGAACCGCTCTTTCGTGCGACTAAGTGTTCGTGCGGTGCCTAGATGGCCAGAGGTGGGGTCATCATGCGTGAGACGCAGAACAGACGTTTGGAGAGACGCAGGAAAACCTAGCAGAAAGCGGGCACCCGTCGTGGACAAGTTTCTCTGGTAAAGAAGACCATTTCGGACGCAGAATCGGCCTTCGCTTAATAAATTTCTCGCTCCAGGGAAGAGAGCTTTCAAGCTTGGGTCATTACGCTGCTCAGCGGCGAAAGTCACGGCATCGGGAAAGCCAGACGAGAGAAAAGCGATAAGGTGATCAAAGTTATCGCCTTCACAATTTGTCGATAGTAGCGGCATTCTGGAGAGGCAATCCGTATCAGCGTGTAGACGGCCAGTCTTGTATGAAATGGTGAAGACATGTTCTTGCAAACGAATGGCCCATCGTGCGAGGCGGCCGGATGGGTCACGAAGGTTGACTAGCCAACACAGGAAATGGTGATCTGTGACGATAGTGAACGGGCGACCATGGATGTATGAGCGAAACCGTTGCACGGCAAAGACTACCGCTATGCATTCCTGTTCGGTCACTGTGTAGTTGCGTTCAGGCTTGCTTAAAGAACGACTTGCGTACGCCACAACGTGTTCCTTTTTGCCAGAACGCTGAACGAGAACGGCACCGATACCGATGCCACTTGCGTCTGTGTGAATTTCCGTGGGCGACGAAGTATTGAAGTGCCGAAGTATTGGCTGCGAAGTTAACAAACACTTCAGCTTGTGAAAAGCAGCATCGCACTCGGAGGTCCACTGAAACGGGCTGTTCTTGCGTAGAAGGCTCGTCAGGGGGTGAACAACATCCGCAAACTTGGGTACGAACCGGCGAAATACGAGCAGAGCCAGATGAAGCTACGCAGTTGGTTCACAGATTTAGGACGCTCGAACGACTCAACGGCCGCTGTCTTTTGTGGGTCAGGTCTAATGCCATATTTGTCGACGAGATGTCCTAACACCAATGTCTGTCGCTCGCCAAAGTGGCACTTTTTTTAATTCAATACAAGGCCACCTTTTTCAATGCAGCTGAGCACGAGGTCTAGGCGAGTGTTGTGCTCCTCAAACGTACGCCCAAAATTTACGACATCATCAAGGTAACACATGCATAATTGCCACTTTAAACCACGCAATATGGAGTCCATAAATCTTTCGAATGTCGCAGGAGCATTACATAATGCGAATGGCATAACGTTGAACTCGTAAAGTCCGTCGGTCGTAACAAATGCCGTCTTTTCTTTGTCAGCTGCGTGCATAGGAATTTGCCAGTAACCTGATCTCAGGTCGACAGAT